CTAGGCTGTTGGCTTGTTTCCAGGGTCGGACAAGATCAGGTGCGTAATATGTTCGTCGAAGACTCTCACAGCCCCTTTTTCCTGCCTCCTTGAATATTTGTCGGACATAAGCGCATCCGTATGGGTTGTTGTGCTAGCGTGGTCACTGCGCGTTCCTCTGTTTATCCGACTTGTTGTTCAGCCGAGTTTGTGTTTCCCACTGCCAGTGCAACGCGCACCTTTCAGTCCACAGTCCGGTATGCGTTTCCAGGACAGTAGCAATTCTAACTCTGGCGGTCACTTGTGAATAAAGGGGGCGGGGAGGCGAGTGTTGGGTGATATTATTTGGCCCATCCGGCATCTGAATGATGCCACAGCACTTGGCTTCCTAGGTCGATTGGATGCTCGACCGCAAGATTTGATACAAATTCCGCACGTCAAAGATCTTAGCCTGTCCATGGAATATTGCTAGACAAGCAAAGGCTCTAACCCCGGCCGAAGTGAGCATATTAACAGTTTCGGGCCGCCGTGGTCCTCAGCCATCCAGCACAGGTCCTGTGCTTGTGGAAGTAACTCTTCAAGAGACTTCCGGCAGAGGTGCCAGTACAAGTAGCATAATCTAAGTGATGGAGGTTGCAGTTGGTCATTACGGTAACGGGGGCTATGGTGCGTGACAGGAAATCTGCAACGTTGTTTTACTACATTTAGACTGCCTTTTTATCGACAAAGGTGACGCCCCTATTGCATCGCACAGTCAGCGAAATTTGACGGACGGTCCGCGTGTGCTATTTGCTATCAACTGGGATAACCTGTTTTACGAGGAGCGGTTTTCTTGCCTTGCGAATGAATCTAGGAACAGCAAAAGCGACAGAGTCGTTAAAATGTATGCACCAATTTATTAGCAATACATAATTATTACATCGTCCAGCTCTACAACTACTGCAGTAGTGACGATTTTTCCCACATCCAGGTTTGTGTTACTCATAGGCCCGTAGCCGCTTGACCAAAAGAAAGCGGAAATCAGCGTTAGGTAATGGAGCTAACATTTTATGGGAACTTTAATTACCAACAACAACTGTTTTCTAGGTATACAAATGGGAATTTGTGCCTAACTTGGATCAAAGTGAGTGTGCTTTGTACAGAACATACACTCCACTATCCCCTGCCATGTTTCCTGGCTGTGTTTAGGGGGTTGGCACGGCGGACTCGCGTCTGTGCGTCCCACAAGTACCGTTTCTTAAAACCACTACACTTCGATAATCGATTCTGAAAATGTCCAACCGCATGCTCCACTGCTCGATGGGCGCAAGTTCGGGGATTAGGGTTGCGCGGTATCTATCGCACTCTCTGCTTTCTTTCTCC